TTGGGTACATCCCGGGGGATTCGTAGACCTCAACCAAACACCATTTTAAGACTTTCCGGACTGCATTTGGTCAAAGTTGTGGTTGGGTACATCCCTGACAGGCCTAGGGTGAGGTGAACATTCTTCAAACTCTCATTTCAGTGACAGATCATAAGAGAAACAAAAGCAAGACAATATATCGTGCACAGAGCTGCTCGACCTGGTTGTGAACGTAACAACCGTTGACTCGCATCACTACAAGTGTTGCAGTAGGATTTCATTAAGTGCAAGCAAGCTATTGTCAAGCCACACACCCTATCTGCAAGCCACCCAGTCAATCAGGCTCTGCTGACGGCAGAGTCAAACCAGTTCATTGATTTTCGGTACCAAAGGGGGTTTGTCCGTTTGTCTTGCTTTGTGCAAATGGATTCGATCTCATGAACTGTTTATCACAAATTCTAGTGCATTAACATTCCGGTGCAGGGAAGGTTCGACTAGTCAGTCGACTACCGTCTTCACCCGAATAGAACGCCCGGTCATTATAGCCGTATTTGGGGGAACTTTCAGTCCAGATGCAGCCATAATGACCGGGCGTCCTATTCGGGTGAGGGCGGTAGCCAAGCAAGTACGCAAGCACGAAATCAAGCAACCAGGCCTGGGTCCATAACATACCATAACATACCACTGTTCGTACCATCTTTTTTTTTGTGGGTTATGAGTCCAGAGTTTTGCGTTTTACATTGTTTTGTGCAACAGGATTCAATCTCATGACCTGTTTATGACCAGTTCTGAATCCATAACATACCACACTGTGAGGCAGGTTCAATCAGTTGGTCGACTAGCCAAGCAAGATCGGAATCAAGCAACCAAGTGGTCGACGGTTGCCGAGGACTCGCTATTGCATGGTCTTGTGTTTTGCTGCACTGAGTTTTGCTAGAGTGAGGGGTTGGCCTTCATCACCATCACTCTCACCATAGCCATTTGAATCATCTGCAAGCAAATGCAAGGCGAGCAGCAATGAACCTGGGGAAGAGACACAGGAAAGCCAACAGAGCAGATCACCTGCACCAACAGCACAAGCAGGAGGATAGGGGGAGGACCAACGTCTGCTGTTCCATGAGACAGAGCGTGGGAAAGCACTGGTTCGAGAGGAAGCGATACGAAAAGGCAACGAGGGTGATGGCAGAAGTAAGGAGTTCTTAACTTCTTACCACTTTGTCAAAAAATGTTTGGCAAAACTTTCACGGCTACAGTCGTCGGAAACTTGATCACAGTGATAGTTAGGAATGTAGAGTTTTGAGCAACTTGGATATTTACTATTCACAGAAAAAGAAGAGAAAAAAAGACTCTTGAATTGGAACCGGGAAGGAAGTGAGCAGAAGAGAAGAGGGTATGGGTGTGTAACAGGTTGGCAAAGGGAGGAAAAAATGAAGCTCTGGACTACCGAACCTGTCACCAGGTCAGGGCCTCGCAGTCAAAACTCTGACCACAGACATGAAGCTCGATGAACCATTGTTTGAAGAAGAGAGGCAGGGGAGGGCAAGACAATGACAATGACAATGCGGATGATTATGAAGAGGACAGGACAACGGAGATGACAAGAGGTGATGACCTAGAAGATACCTTGAGTTCATGAAGAAGTTCTCGCGGCGACAAATCAGTATGTGCGCTGACGGCTGAGTTCAAGAAAAACGGTTGATCTTCAACATATGCTGGAGCACTCTGCAATACCACGACAAGCACACCGCGTAATCCAAAATTGAACACCACCCATTTGATGAGGCAAATGAGCGTTTAACATACTTGCAAGCGCACGAGCTGCGTACGGCGGCACCAGATCTGCGCGTCACACAACGTGTCCAGCGGACGATTGGGTACCTCACCCCCCAAAAAAGGAAAGAAAGACCGGGGTGTTGTCATCCTTGCAGTTGCTTGGGAGGAGCCCTGTTGCCGTCCTGCTGGTCTCCAAGCCGTCCTCCCCGTCGCTAGGAGGGGCAACGCCATGCTGGAGGAGGAACATTGCCATGCTGAAGAAGGCGGACCATCGCCATCCAGCCCATCGCCAAGCCGACCTCCCCTTCCTCCTCCTCACTTCCTCTTCTGCCTGCTTCTCCTCCTCCTTCCCCTCATCCTCCTCCTCGTCCGCTTCATCGTCCTCCACCTCTCCTCCTCATACTCCTTTTCTCCTCCTCCAACTGTCTTCCCCTCCATCCCTCGTCCTTTCAACCTCATCTCCTTCATCTAACTCCCATCTCTCCTCCTGCTCCTGCTGCTCCTCCCTTGTCTTTTCCCTCCGTCCATCGCTTCTCCTCCTCCATCCCTCCTCCTCCTCCTCGTTGTCCTCCTTGTCCACCTCCTCCTCCTTCTCTCCCACCCAGGTATCGATGTCGTTAGCATACATAGGGCTCAAAACCACGAAATAGTGAAGTTTCCCTTTCTTTTTCTTATTGCGGTCGACGGTCGTCATTTCATTTGCTGTCGCCGTTTCATCTCTTATGCGGTTGTTGTTTGATGTGCTTGGTGGAGGAGGAGGGGGAGGAGAGGGATGGGTGGAGGACAGACAGAGGAGACGAGTGTGGAGAAGGAAGAGAGTTGGGGAAAAGAGAGGGGAACGGAGGGGGGAGGGGGGGGAGCGCAGTGCAGAAGAACGAGCGCGTTGTCTGTCCTCTTCCTCCATCTCTCCTCCTCCTTGTCCCCTCCTTGCAAACTTTTTTCTTTTGTTTTTGGTTTCCCGTTCGTCGGTTCGTCTTCCGACTATTACCCCCCCATCTCCCCGCCGTATCCCATCCTCTACCTCCTCCTCCTCCTCCTTTCCCACCTAGGTATCGATGTCGCTGACCTTGAAGTCGTGAAGTTGCCCTTCTCCCTCGTTTGCTCCATTCCCCCATCCCTCCATCTCCTCCTCCTCCTCCTCCTTCCTCCAGTCGTTGGAAATCGGGAACCTTCTTTTTTTTTGGTTTCCCGTTCTCCCTCTTTTGAAATCACTGATAATCGCAGACCTCCCTTCTCCCTTGTTTGCTCCATTCCTCCATCCTTCCATCTCCTCCTCCTCCTCCTCCTCCTCCTCCTCCTCCTGCTTGGAAATCGCAAACCTTTTTTCCTTTTTCTTTTTGGTTTCGCGACGTCCCTCGTTTGGAATCGCTGGAAATTCCGAACCTCCCTTCTCCCTCGTTTGTTCCATTCCTCCATCCCTCCATCTCCCCCTCCTCCTCTTCCTCCACCTTCCTCCAATCGCTGGAAATCGTGAACCTTTTTTTTTTTTTTTTCGTTTCCCATTCGTCAATTCATTATCCGACTATACCCCCCATCTCCCCGCCACATCCCCTCCATCTCTCCTCCATCTCTCCCCCATCTCTCCATCTCTCCTTCCTCCATCTCTCCTTTATCTCTCCTCCATCTGTCCTCCACCCATCTATCTTTCATCTATCTTTCATCTCTCCTCCATCTCTCCCCCTCCCCTCCATCTTTCCTCCATCTTCTTCTCCTCCTTCTACTTTCAATTGCTGGAAATGGCCAAGGGTTTTACAAACCTTTCTTTTTCTTTTTCTTTTTTGGTGGAATCCTGCTCATCGATTCGTCTACCCCCCCTTATCCCTCCATCTCTCCTCCATCTCTCCTCCTCCTGGCCTCCATAATTCCTCCAATCGCTGGAAATCGTGAACTTCTTTTTTGTGTTGTTGGTCTCTCGCTCGTCGATTCGTCTTCCGACTCTACCCCCCATCTTCCCACCAGATCCCCTCCATCTCTCATCTATCTCTCCTCCATGTCTCCTTCATCTCTCCACCATCTATCCTCCATCTGTCCTCCATCTATCTTTCATCTCTCCTCCATGCATCGTCCATCTCTCATCGTATGCCCTCCATCTCTCCTCCATATCCCCTCCTTCTCCCCGCCATTGGTGGAATACTGGTCGTCGATTCGTCTACCCTCCATCTATCTTCTCCCCGCAATTGGTGGAAACTTCAAAGTTGAAACTTTAAACCCGATACCTGGGTCATTGTAGACAAAGAACAGCACGGCGCTGAACTTTCCACAACTACAAACCTGGTAAAAGGAAAGAGTAAAGTGGGAGAAGAAGAGAGAAGGAAGAACAGGGAAAAAGCTAATGCAGGATGTCATGAAGGAACCCCGTTCCACATCAGCTGAAAGTTTGAAAAAGAAAGGAAAGGTAAAAATGAAGATGCCCTTCACATACAGCGGTAAGAAAGGTGAATACCTACTATTGTGGATAGCTAAAATCCAGAAGTATTGCTCCACTGCCCCAACAGAGGAAGACAGTCAGGTTGCCTTCAAAACCTCATGTCTTGGTGAAGACTCCAAGACATGGGTATTGTTTGAGGCTAACGCTGCAGGCTATGAGTATATTGGGGGGTGGGCAAGGACACAGACGTTGAAAGGATTTTTGAGAAGATGAAGGAAAGGTTCTTCGATAAGACAATGGCCGATAAGACCTTTGACGAACTAACTACCATGGGCAGCACCTCTGGGCCTCGGTTGACGCGCTGTCATGGGAGGTGGAGAGAGACGGTTAACGGAGACCTAAATTTTCAAACAACTTGTCATGCCATTTAGAACAAAACCCAAGAGTCATTTATCCAAACTTGCCCGCAGTTCATAGAATGGAGACCATACTAACTAATTGAAAAACAAAATTGGAAAAAAAAAAAAAAAAACTATAAAACAGCGAGGCAAAAGTGCACGTTTTCATAGAGACCATAGGTATTTCCTAGAAGATACGGCAAGATAGGCTGGACAAGGGTCAATGCCTCAAGTGCGGCACTAAGGGACCCATCATCGCATGATATCCCCTTATCCGGAACTAAAAAAGGAGCAGCCATAACATCTGCTCCTACTGAGCCAATGAGCGTGCAGATGACACGACGCCACGACGCCCCTTCAACCCTCCAGCTCCTAAGGTAGAGGATGGCTCTTCTTCGGCCCTCACCTAGACCGCCTTGCGAAAGTATAGTGTTTCTATCACACTGGGTGAGTCCCTTGACGAACTTCGAACCAAACTAATTGCTTTACGAAGTTCATTGGCTAAGAAAGATGTTGCACGAACACGTGTCAGTCTTTTGCTAGATCCTGGGTCAACTCGGTCTTACATCTCTGAGAAGGCAATTAAGAAGATGCATATGGGAATGAAGGTGAAAGAGTTACCAAGTCCTATCACCTCTATGCTTGCGGACAAAAGCACTATAATTGGATCCCACTACGTGGATCGTGTAAAGTGCTATTTGCATGAAAAAAACGTCCTCGTTGAGAAAATCCTACCGTTCAACTTGATTCTGGACATGGTTGGCACAACGAAGCCAACCAAGAAAAGTATAAGGACAAGATTGTGAGACTATAAGACAAGAAAAAACAACTAAAGTCGATTAAGTTATTTCATAGGTCTAGTTCAAATTCTTCGCTATCTTTCTATTGTATGAGTCTGCCTGCTTTCATAAGTATGGTAACGACGAAGAAGTTGGTACAGAAAGTGATGATGGTAATCGTAAAGAACGTAGGTGAGAGTTATATTTCCTTCCCTCCTAAACTACTTTATGAATATACGGACCTGCGAATTAAACCTACGGGACTAACTAAAAGAATTGTCAAACATACACTTGAAATTTTTCCCGGTACCAAAACTCCCAAAGGACCAATCCGTCACATGTTCCCGCGAGAATTGGAAGAATTGAAGAAACAATTGCAGGAACTAACAACAAAAAGATGGATTAGACCGGGCTGCTCTCCCAACAACGCTTTTGTACTCGTTGTGCCTAAGAAGGAAGGTGAGCTCGAACTTTGCATCGATTATCGAAGATTGAATTCCGTAACTTTAAACAATGTCAAACCCCTCTCTCGAATCGATGACTTGCTTGGTCGGTTGGAAGGTTACAAGTACTTTAGCAAGATTGATATGAAGGTTGGCTAAGATCAGATCGAGGTTGCTCCTGAAGATCCAACACAAGACGACATTCAGAACGAGGTATGAACACTTTAAGTACGTAGTCATGCGCTTTGGTCTAACTAACGCCCCTGCAACCTTCCAAAGATCAATGAATGGACTCTTTCGCGAATGGTTACATATATAAACAACTACAAACAACAAATTTGTAGTTGTTTATATTTATGACATCTTAATCTACAGTAAAACACTAGAAGACCATGATAAACATCCACGAATCATTCTACAGAAATTGAGAGAAGGCAATTTTAAGATTAATCCCGAAAAGTCATAGTTGTTTAAGTCTGAAGTACTTTATCTTGGACATAGTGAATGAAGGAGTAAGGCCAAAAAAAAGGAAAATTGTTGCGATCTAAGACTGGCCCCCCAAAACTCTATCTGAACTGCACTCCTTCCTAGGACTAGGAAGCTTTTATAGAAAGTTTGTTAGAAAATTCTCCATTACAGATGCACCTATGAGGAAGCTACTAAAGAAAGAGACGTTTGGTTGTGGGAAAAAGACCGTGAGTCATCATTTAAGAAGTAAAAGAATGCTTTGACTCACTACCTTGTCCTAAAGATTGTCGATCCATCATTGTCGTTTGTAATCGCAACCGATGCAAGTCGGTATGAGATTGGGGTTGTTTTGCATCAAGATGATGGGAATGACTATGGAGCGATTGAGTTCATATTTAGATGCTTACCCTCTAAGAAAGTGGCAAACTCAACGTATGAGAGCGAGTTGTATGGATTGTTGGAAACACTAACTGCATAGACACACTACTTGTTAGGAAGACACTTCAAAGTCTATTCTGACCATCAGACTCTTAAGTGGCTAAAGATGCAACCATGACTATCTGACAAGTTGGCACGATGGTTTCTTGTTATTGACACCTTTGACTCCAGGTTAAGGTCTATGACATGTAAGTACAATGTTATAGTAGACGCACTCTCTTTACGTTCTGACTTCTTTGGTGCAACTATGACATATGTCAATGTGGGAAGTGAAGTGAAAGATAAAATCGGAAATGGATGTGTTGACCCGAAATAGAAACCCATACACTTCAGACTCTACAAACGAATCTTGAGCACTTCCCTGACTATCAAATGGCAGATGGCATACTATTCCTTACAAGGAGAAGACAAAATTTCTGTCCCACATGATGAATCAATAAAGAGAATGATATCAGGTGAATGTCATGACAAAGAAGGACATTTTGGATGGACGAAGACCTATGCTAATGTTTTGCAACAATCTGAGTGGCAAGGAATGAAACAAGATATAACAACCTATGCCAGAACGTCTCTTGTCAATCAAAGGAACAAACCATCCGAAGAGAACCCTTTCGAACAGTTAAGAGCGCTTCCTATTTTCGATGGAGGTAGAGAATCTATCTCTTCAGACTTCATGGTATAACAAAGAGTAGGAATGATAACAACCAAGCCATGCTCATTGTTGATAGGTTCTTTAGGTACACAATGTTCATTCCTCTACTAACTGAAGCAAGAACTGGACTGGTTAATTTCAGATACGATAGGTCTCAGAATATGGATTTCCAAAGACTATTGTGTCTGGCAAAAATATAAGGTTCACAAAACTGTAATGGTAGAAGTTAATGGAAGTTTACGACACTCGATTGACTATGTCTTCAGGTAGCCACCCTAAAACTAACGGTCAGACTCAGCAAATGAATCATCTGTGACAACTTATGTGCATGTATGTGCGTCCTGACCAGGTAGAAAGGGGCGAGAACTTGCCTAAGATAGCACGTGTGTATAACTCTAGTTTTTCACACAGTCACAGGACGAACACCAAACGCACTTCACAAAGGATGGCAACCCAAAAGACCTATAGACTCCCTAACAAGAGACCAGGTCCAAAGGTTACCACCAGGGACCTGTGAGTTTGCAGTTTTGTATGAAGAAGACATAAAGAAAGTCATCATCAAATGATTGAACAAGCGAACAAGAACCACAGACCTTCAAATTTCAAAGAAGGCGATCGGGTCACCATGAAGTCAATTTGGAAGAGGGAATCTCGCAGAAACTGCTACCTGTCTACTACGGGCAATGGGAGGTTCTCGAAGTCAATGGGGACACAATTGGAACGTCTTACCTCATTGATGCGCCTTGACATCTCAAGACTTACTCTGTCTTCCATGTCCAACTGGGACACGACACATTTGGCTTAGCGGTGCATCCAGGCCGTCGACATCTTAAAATTTTGGGTCGTCGATGAAGTCGAGAGGAGGCTGTGCAACGCTAGCCAACGCTATAACAAGACTGTCTGGCCCTGGGATAGGGCATTCTGCCTTGCACTTTGAAGCGACTAGGTTGCAGCTCGTGAGGCTCTTGCGAGGAGAGGCTGGCGCCAGTAAGAGTGAAGGAGCGCCAGCGAGGAAGAAGATGCTGGCGGAGCGGTCAAAGCTGGCAGCTGCCACCAAAGTTGTAGTAGGACAACTTGCGAGGAGGAGGAAGATCAGAACTGTGAGATTGTGAGGAAAAGCAGATAGAATGATAAGCTAAACTGAACTTACCTGGGTGCTGAAGATATTGAAGGTGTTTCTGGTTTCCAAGAGGTTGAAGAAGGTTAGCGCCAACCTCCACAGGGCTGTAGTTTTAGGTTGGGCGCTGGAACCTGCACAGAGACTTCACCAGTGACTTTCGAAGAGCGAGCAACAATGAGGTGGAGTTTTGGAGGGGAGATGCCCAATGAAGAAGTGGGGTTGACTTGTACAACTGAATATTTATGTAATCCTTCTCTCTCCCTTCTCTCACCTCCCTCTTGCCTCTCTCGTATTACTCGCCACTTCTGTGATGTGCAATTGGTCGAGTTTGGACCTGTGCACATCTTTGGGAGACGACACTTTCAGTGTTTGTATGTTAATTCCATGACATTGCTGATTGGTGGGTTCATTACATATTACAAACAAAATAAAAAGAGAAAGTGTTTCAACGTCCTCCTCCAGTCTCATACTCCACTTCTCTCTACAACAGAGTCAAACTCTCCTCCTCTTGCCACCTCAGATCAGTCAACCCAGCTATGGCATCCTCCTCTTCTGGCCACTCCAGCAGGCTACTCCACCTCTCCACCACTAGAACACGTGCATCTTCTGTCGCCATATCACTCTGGGGTCTAGTGCCAGCAGCATCCACTCTTAGATAAAGAGTGCCGATCGTGTGTAGAGCCCCTGGAGTCGGCTCCTTCAACACCACCTCGCCCGTCCAATCGATACAGTGGCGTCCACCTCATGGCCCACTCAGCCTCTATCTCTCTTCTTCTCCTCTGTCAGACTAGTTGGTTTGGTAGAGGTATGGTGGCGTCCACCTCATGGCCCACTCAGCCTCTATCTCTTACCTGATGAGTCGATGCAACTCTAGTGAAACAGGTCTGTCACAGGCCCTCGACTGTTGTCCTCTTGTCCCTCCTTTCCCAACAACAAACAGAAGAGGTAGAGAACCTAGTGGTTTCCCTTCTTCTAGGGAAAAAAGGGCTTACATCTCACATTATTGTATCCATTCATCTGATTCTTCCAGGATTTGGACTCATAATCTATATGCTAACAGCTACCTATGTGTACCATGCAGCCACATGAGTCCGATGCTCAAATAGTGCTTTCCCTTTAGCTCACCTAAGGAGGGAAGTCTCAAGCTCATGATCTCCACACACTAACAGTTGCATGTGTTTAGCATTCACCCAGATAGGTCCACTACTTGGTAGTTGTTTCTCTTGATTATAACAATTATTATATCATATCATATATTGCAAAGATGGATGAGAGAGCTTCCTATACACAAATACGCACCTTCAAGGCTTAAACCGCAAGAACATCCGGACAAGACCTACCAACCCTAACGAGGGCGTACCTGTATCTACCCGGCAGTGCGACAAGGGGAAATCCAGGTCTACTGCAGTGAATACTTTTTGGAAAAGATTGGCCTCTTATGAAGTGACGGTTTGGATGTACACCACCGGCATCATATATATCAGGAAACTGCAAGCTACTTTGGAGAGGACATAACAGGTATTATCACAACCTACACCCTTCACCTCGTCCATCCCTTGTCATGTGGGGACCACCACAGGCAGGACTGCTACAAATTGGTACCAGGCATCAAGAGTGCCAAAATCACTTCTCACCTCGTAGAGACAGCCATGACGGACGATATGAATGCCAGCCTGGCCAAAAGAACCATGAACCAACAACGACATAACCCCCCCCCCCCACACCCCCCCCCACCACCGCCCCATTCCCCATCCTCAACCTTCCCCCCCCCCACAAAAAAAAGGATGAGAACAATTGTCAGCCCCTCCGTTCTCATGCCATAGACATGCACAAGAGCCACACACAGAGAAAGACCACAGCAACACACTACAGACATAAAAGAACAAAGCACATCCATTCAGATTTGCATCCCTGGCGACCGCCGACCCCGACCGCCGACCCCAACCACCGACTGTATTGCAGCCGACCAGTAGGGCCGACCGGTCGGCCGACCAGTCAGGAAAAAAAAAAAAAACATCCACTGATTTTTTTCAAATCTGAGTTGGGGGCTGTACTGCACTTGCTGAGTGCAGCCCAAATCCGCTGAGAAACATTTGATCTGAGTTGGGGGCTGTACTGCACTTGCTGAGTGCAGCCCAAATCCGCTG